TCAAGTAACCCCAAATTCCGTTCCTGAACTTTCTTCGCCGATAGGTAGTAAACAAACAAAAAAAAAATGTGGGGTGGGGGAGAGGCGAGGAGAAGTAGAAACACGAAGTCAGCGCATCTCTTATCAAATTTATTGCACGTCTGATATAACAATTAACAGTGAGGAGCATGTCATAATACACACACACACATATATACATACATATATATATATATATTTGGTTGGATAGATGTGAATTTGTGACGCTGGGTTTCACGCTTTAGCGATCGTCAGACAAACTGAAACATCAGTTTGTCTGACGATCACTAAAGCGTGAAAACCCAGGGTCACAAACTCACATCTATCCAACCAAATATGTTAGCTCTATCTCTGATATTGAGCGCTTTCTAATAAGTACCACGTATATAATATATAAATAATTATACATATATATTTTATTTATATTTATATACACTTTTCGCACACACACACACACACACACACACACACACACACACACACACACACACAATATATATATATATACACACACACATATATATATATATATATATATATATATATATATATATATATATATGTATGTATCTATGTATGTATTGTGACATGGTAGGAGAGAGAAGGAGAGCAAAGAGAGTCTGATTAATATGTACACAGACCGGGACAACCGACACGGCCCCATGGCGAGGGATTCTGCCAGCTTCAATCAGCGCCCGGAACCTGGATAAAATATCGACAACGATAAAAATTTCGGAATGAGTCATGAGATGTTGGAAACGGGAACCGGGAAAAAAGGAACACACGTGTCGAAAAGGGAGTTGGCGCGTGTTGATTGCGAAAAACGGAAGACGATATGCAATGGCCGGACGATGGAGGAAGTAGGGAAAGAATTAAGCCTTCCGGCCAACTTAACGAAAGGTCCACATCATGGCAAAAATCTTGGCGAAGACAATTGTGAAGAACTGACCTAACGGGGATCTGAACCACCTGTTGGATTATGCAATAACACGCCGAGTGGGGCATGGAGTGGAAATACAAACGAAAAAAAAAATCAAGGAGAGAGAGAGAGAGAGAGAGAGAGAGAGAGAAAGAGAGAGACTAATCCCAAAATGACAGGAGAATATAAAAAATGAATAAAAACAAAACAGAAAAGAACAGGGGTTCTTGATAGGCTCCAGAGGCGGATATGCAATATAATTGGCCCTGATCTGGCATTTCGTCTACAGTCACTTTCTCACCGACGCGCCGTCGCCCCTCTCTGTTTGTTTGTTTCCGAGGAGCTGCATTTGCTGGTTCCCAGACTTCATGAGTTCAAGCGACCGACGAGGCTGGCATCCCGCTCTCACCCTTTTACTGTCAAAACTACTAAATGTAGCCGTCTCTTCTACTCCAATAGCTTCATGTCTCGCACCTCTCGCCTGTGGAACTCCCTTCCCTATTCAAGTTTGCCTGAGAGCTACAATCTCCAGCTATTCAAATATAATGTCAATCGACATCTCCAGTTGCCTTGATCTATCCACTACCCTTCTCCTCATCCTTTCTTCTATCACTCCTATCTGATCTTGCTCCGAATTTTCTGTAACCCCTTGCGTCCTAGTGGCTTCCCGCCTTGCTTGGGGTGAAACGCTTAAACCCCCACCCCGCAAAAACAGAAGAGATATAAAAATGGGTGAGAGATTCCAGTAATAACATGAAGGATTAATAAATTATCATTTGATTCAGTCTCACCCTTATTAATAAACACTCCATAACCCCAACAAATTTACATCCGCCATTCCACAAAAGAAAGAGAGGAACCTCATTAATTCCACTCCCACTTCATTTTAAGGCTTCGACCTCTATCGATCCCTGATTACTGTCTGTATCTTCCTAGTCATTCTTTTGTCCTGTTGTTGTTTTTGCAATTAACTTATTTGTTGTTATATAAAGTTTTATATAAACTTCCCTTGTGGTTGTTTTGATGCTTGCGCCGTTATTCAATGAGTTTTGAGCCACCAGACAGACCAACTATCTTATGTTGCCTTTTCTTTTATATATATAATATTGTTAACATGTGCTGAATGTAATCATTTAATCTTACAATTCAACCAAACGTCAGTGTAATTTATGAATTTCTTTTTTGGTGTAGCTTCAAACTTCTTCTTAGTCTGTCATTCATATCTTGCATTTATCACTAAAGAAACTTTTGTCAAATAAGTATTGAACTTTATACTAAATTTTGCCAGCACGTTCGTTGATCCATGATCGCTTACTTTAGGTAATATGCGTATATACACACATTCCGGAAAAGAACACAGAAGCAATAGTCGCGTTATAAGTGAAATAGAAATCAAAGAAACACACACGGAACGAGGGAGGGAGAGAGAAAGAGAGAGGAGAGAGAGAGAGAGAGGAGAAAGAGAGAGGAGAGAGAGAGAGGAGAGAGAGAGAGGAGAGAGGGAATAGAAGCCATGAACTTTTTCGTATGTATGGAGGTGATCGCTGGAAGAGATGAATACATTTCAATTGATTTTCAGATTAGCTTGGGTTATATTTGCTTTTTTGCTTCAAACAATAAACAAGAATTCGGTAAGTGAAAGCAACAGAACACAAGAGATTATCAGAGTGTTGTTTTATTGATTTTAAATTCATCTTTTTGCCTATGGGGTTATTTTATTAAAGTGCAAGAACTCTTTATATATATATATATATATATATATATATATATATATATATATATATATATATATATATATATATATCTGTGTGTGTGGAATACGAAAGGGAGAGGAGCTCTGTCACCTGACATTTGGCCTCACAGTAAACGAAATCATATCGCGTTCGAATTTCAGTTGAAGCGGCAAAAGATTGCTGATATCTTTGCGAAATAGTTAAATATTCCTCACTGCGTTTTGACACATTGCGTGATATCATTCAAAACATTATTTGTCTGACATGCCACGTTGTTTTTAACAAAGGACAGAGAATAATATGGTGCATTTGTGAAATTTGTGTAGATATATAGTTGACTGGTTGAATTGACTACATATATAGGTGCAATATTGGAGGAATCGAGACTTTTCTCATACAGTCTCAATTACGATGGACTGGTCATGTCTTGAGAATGTCTGATGACCGGATACTAAATATCCTAATGTGCAGCCAGTTAGATCAGGGCTACAGAAAGACAAGCTGAAGAGCAACTTGTCAGCTGTCAATACACCGCATAACACCCTCCTTTAGCCTTGGAGCGGGTAGAATGGAGATCAACCTGTTTTAGTGAACTCTGCAGTTTTCACTCTGCTAGTCTGAATCGTCTTCAAGAAGCGAGGGCCAGATCTAAAAGGTCAGCCAATCTAACAGTGATATCATCCCACAATCATCACTCTTACTCCATATGCCGCCTCCTTTGTAAATCATTAACAGGTCTTAAGTGTTACTTAAGTTTATCGCACAAAATTTCATAACTGAATCAATGCTTAAGTTTTCAGATCCTCATACGTCGAAACCGACGGGAGAGTCCATTATATATATATATATATATATATATATATATATATATATATATATATATCAAACCTTCGGTTATTTAATGTGTTAAATGATTTTTTTATCTCTAATCACATTGTTCTAATATAAGTCAATACTGGTCATTCATATTTGAATCTCCAAACACATTTGACAGATGGCTTCTTTAGTGATTCGTGACTCTTTTTCTTCTATGTCCCGTGTCCCTTCCGGATGTTCGTGATCCTGGTTCAATTTCTTCTCGTTTATAATTCTTTAATAAATGCTGTCCTTTTGTTATCATTCCTAAACGCTGTTCTCTAGGTAGGTTATACGTTGTTTCCCTCTTGCCTTAAAGATGCTCTTCTTCATGACTCTTTAGTGGATGGCAATAACGTATTCTAGGCCAACCGACAAAACAATGTATATATAATAATTTCCCCTTCTCTTACTCATTCGTGTATGTGTCTGGCTTCTCGTAGCCGAATATGCCTGTCTAATCCCCTTTATTGTTTTTATATTTTTTCACCACTTAGAAAGCCAAATTAGTTACACACACACACACACACACACACACACACACACACATATATATATATATATATATATAATTCCAATGTTTGTATATCAATTATTGACTCAGCTTCTAATGCTGTGAGAGGAAGTGGGTGGTGAAAAGAAGACGTCGCTCGTGGTGGGAAGACACAAACCTATGGGAAAGGTATTCTCAGATGAGTTACACCACGGAACGTAAGAGCAGCGCTATATCGGGTCCAGTTTGTCACGTCTTCGTCACCGAGGTCCGTTGGTACGTCGCTTGCGCCGTATCCTTTATGTCCGGTTTCGAATCTCGGTAGTGGATGCGCACCGCTGATGGGTCCCAAATGAGACGAAACTGCCATCCAGTGCTTTCTGCATTCAACTGAGGTTTCTTCTAGACTCTATGAATTAATTGGTTTTGTATTCAATTCTCCCCCCCCCACATATATATATATATATATTACAATGAATCATTCATACAAAAAGTAAATTAGTAAAGTTAATGATATGAAATGGCGAAATCACTTCCCTAACTAAAATTTAAAGATACATTAACCCACTAACCACTCTATGAATGTTATGATACTTGTTTTTTTTTTTAAATTATAAACTGTATTAGGTCTTCCTTAAATGTGCAAGTACTTTCGACGGTTCCTACAGTCATCATCAGGCGTGGGAACTATTTACTTTTTGGTAAAATTCAGGTAGCATCTGAGACGAAAAAATATAATACAAATAGAAATAGGATGACCAGATGACTGGTTTTCTTTAATATTTGTCAATTGTCATTTGACTGAGAAACTGTATCCATCGAAAATATACATATTTGGTGAAGAGCCGAATTACCAAAATATTCCAAACCTGATCATGAGTACAACAAGGAGGAAATGAAAGCCCCAATCTTTTTAATCTCTTCTTAGACTATGCTTTGGCCATATACAAGCAGAGATGTGAAGAAATGGACACTGATCATTTAACGATTTCGTGCTATACCCCAAATGTATCTACCAATAGAAAAACGAATTTCCTTAGAAGATATGCAAACAGTAAGTGGGGTGAATAATTCTGTCCACAATTGTATCTTAAATTCATTATAAAAATTCAGGATGTGGAATGCTAAACAATTCAAATGCCTTGGTGTAAGGTTCGATTATAGCAAGCTTAGTATAGTAGACATGCAAATTGAAAAGAAAATTGCCTGCACTCGGGGTAGATTCGCATAACTGTACTGTACTGATGCGGCATTCACCCTGGGCGGATTGAGCCGGCTTCTTCCTGTTATGAGAAGAAGATTCTTGGGATAAATTACAGAAGTAGGGTACCCAGGCCTACTCGGATAACGTTCTTGCTTGCCGCGGGTTTCCCACAGACGCAGAGACAGGAACGACCAGAAGCCGCCGGTTACCGATGCAGACGCTCCTTGGATTTTCACCAGAGCCCTTGTTTGCCGGTGTGTGTGTCAGACCTGTCCGCCTTGGGTGGCCCTACCAGGAACGAAGTTCCGGGCGGTATAGCTCTGACACTACCGTTTACACGGCCCCCACCGACTGTGAGGTAAGGGTTGGACTTTGTGGGCTTACAGTACCAGGTGTTCCCAAGCGGCCCCCCATCTAAGTACTGACCTGGCTCTACGATGCTTGATCGAACGAGAACCGGTGTTTCAGCGTGATTTAACCGTAAGCACAGATTCGCATAACAGCCTAACTTGTTACAAAACCAAAGTATTAACTTAAAAAGTCGAGTCATGTTATAAAATAGCCTCGGCAGATCCAGATTTTCATATGAGAGTCATGCATGGCGGTAAACTATTTTTCAGAAATATCTAAACTGCCAGCTGTATACAAATGCTTTCTCAATTCAGTATTCAGTGAATGAAAATGGCTTCGAACGGATGAAGACTCTAGGTCATAGCAAGAATAATCATTCTTCAAACTTCGTGGTCTGGTGCTACAGAATTTCAAACAAAGAACTGCGTCAAATAAACTACATCACTTGAGAACTGCAACATCTAAAATGGATAGCACATGTAATTCAAAGACGAAGTAATGACATAATCAGGATGTTGAAATCTCACATTACTTCAAAAATTGGTTAGGAAAGAAGCCATCAATATTTTGAGAGAGCAAAACTGAACGCGAGAAACCTATTTTCCTGAAAAAAAAATCTTTTTATAGAAAGATTTTTTATTAATTTCAACAAATGATAACACCGGCAGCTCTGTCACTGAATACCAAATATTTCCTTATAAGGAAGCGGTTAATATTACCATTTCTTCTTGAAAACGTATAGTATCGTGCTGGAATTGGGATGGAACAGAAGTTCTTAGCATTTTCAGTAATTGCGTTTGGAAACGTGATTCTGTTTCATGTGTGACTGAAATTTATAATACATTCTGAAATGTGATAGTTCATCGCGTGGTTCTATATGGTTTTCATGTGGATTTGGATTTTAAATATTTTTGCTTAAATCGAGGAAAATAAGGTCCCATTGACAAAGTTTGGCTGGGATGTCTCCACAGGCGGTACTCAGGTAATCTCATACCTTAATAAGAACTTCAATTCTCTGTGTCCTCTGCTTTAAAGAATGTTTCCCCGATCACTATAAACAGAAGCACTTCAAGTCTAAGTTTAACCGTTATATTTCTTACATAAACTTCAGTGTTGTCCTATTACGCTCATACAACACAGTACAGTAAATCTCTACTTTGAATAACTTTTAAGCTATGTACTCTGTGAACATTAGTATAAAAAGCCTGTAAAATACACTTATACAAGTTTATCAATCATAAAAAGTCCCAATTTAGAGGAGGGAATTATGAATCTGGATCAACGACGGTGACATCTAGAGAAACAAATTGACGCTTATACGGCCGAATAAATCTATGTACAAATATTTAATGTTTACGAAATGCTCTTAAAAACATCTGGGGCCTATTACAAATTAAACCGTCTTATTGATTGATTCGATGTATCTAAGTGATGAAAAAAAAAATATATATAGTTTTAACAACGTGTTGGAATATTTTTAGTTGTAGCTTTAAAAATGTCTAAACATTTTAAACCGTTTTTAAATAACTTTACTAAGGTTTAACAGCATTGCTCAATCGCTAAAATCAAATGTGTTTCTTCTAGCAAACCGGAAAAAAAAAAGGAAATTTAAAAAACAAAATCCTCTGAGGAGTTTAATTTCTTTCTTTACAAGGAATTAACAACAGAACCGAAAACTTCTGATATTGTCACGTCTTGCTTTTCGGGATTTTCCAAGAAGCCAACTTTGCTTTCATTTGAAAAACGAGAAGATTTTTCTGAATATCTTACAACAAATTCTAAAAATAAGAATAATATTCTTTTGAAATCATATGCAATAGAAATCTTTTTTCTTTTAGTTTACTTCCATCGTATTTCTCTCTTTTTGAATTGCAGCACAAATACAAAAAAAAGCACGCACGCTTAGTTTCACTTTTTTTTTGTTTTG